GAATTTAATTAGTAGCATTCATTAAATTTTCATTTGAATGCGGTTGGTTCACCCATGTTATTATGAAGAGAGATTTATATAGCTTTAATTAAATAAAGTCCACTATTGTTATTTGTATTCAAAAAGAGATTTAGTGTTAATTTATCACTTTATCTGTTTGTTTATTAAATGTGTTTAACTATTAACCGTAACATAATATAATAAATAAATAAGTAGTAAATAAAACTGAATACTATTACACAACGCCATCTAGTTTTAAATAAAGCTAAATTTATATATATATATATATATATTTACCTGGAAGAAAAAAGACGAGGCTCGACGTAAATATCACTAGCAAGAAGAACAAGAAAACTCTTAAAAAGAAACTCTTTAAAAAGAAGAAAAAAAAATCTTGGACTCTATCGCGACTACCCCCGGGTCACCGAGTCCAAAAACATTTTGATTTTATATTAACTTGTTGCATGTTAATTGCTGGAGGGATGGACAGCAGCGTCCCTCTTAAAACATCTCTAAAGCCTGACTGTGGTTGCCAATCCGTCTGCCAAGCATGGCAACTATTGGCAAAATACCCCAAAGGGGAGGCTTATGTTCAGCATTGGATGGTTAAGAGCTGATATGATGATGATGATGATATCAGTGCTAATATATGATAGATGGCTTCTAATGCAAAGGTTTGGAAGGATGGATGGATGTATGTTTGTTACTCTTTCACGCAAAAACTACTAAACGGATTTGAATGAAATTTGGTTTATGGGTAGGTTATATCTTAACTTAGCATGTAGGATAAGTTATGTACTGATTCACATGAGCAAAGCCACGGGATACAGCTAGAATATAATATGAAGTAAAAGGTTACTCAATATTATGTTACATATTAGCGGCCCGTCCCGGCGTCGCACGGATGGATATTTTTACATTTTAAAAAGTGCCCATTAAGGCTGCACACGCGACGGAAGCCTAAAAATGGAGTAACTTCTCCCGTTTTCCCAACATTTCCCTTCACTGCTCTGCTCCTATTGATCGTAGCGTGATGAAAAATATACAATAACCTGTCCAGAAGTATAAAGAATAATTATACCAAGTTTCGTTAAAATCCATCGAATAGTTTTTGTTTCTATAACGAACATACAGACAGACAGACAAAAATTTTACTGATTACTTTTTTGGCATCAGTATCGATCACTAATCACCGCCTGATAGTTATTTTGGAAATATATTTAATGTACAGAGTTGACCTCTCTACAGATTTATAATAAGTATAGATTATATCATATTATATATGTTGTTATGAAACAACATATAAACATAACACTACGCTGAAGTTACGATCTTATGTTAATCTACTATAGTAACACTCACAACAGAGTAAAATGAAATAATAGTAGAACACTCAGGCTGTGGAATGAGCTCTCGGTCGAGATTCCCCTAGAGAGTAAGTATAGGGACCTTAAAAAAGAACGAATGAAGCTTTTTTCAGAGTTGGAAACGCACTTGTGACACCCCTGATGATGCAGGTGTCAGGTGTAATGTTTTTAAATATACTTATCTATTGTAATTTTTACTGATTTTTTTTATCCTTTACCTTCCTATCGAGATAAAAATATCCCAATTATTAAGTAAACAAAGGTGAAAATATCTTATTTTAATAAGAACATAGGTCTCCATAAGAGGGGTTTGCCAGTAGTTGTCACGCTTGGCGAGCGGGATGGCAACCGAAGTTAGGCTTATGGTGTTATTTTAAGAAGGATCCTGTTGATTTAAAGATTACCTTATAATGCTCCCATTGTAAGGTACTTACGAATTTTTCTCAGGTTCAGTGACGTATAACCCAATACCGATAAAAATCGATATCGATAAAAAATTAAATTAAGATAAAAAAAAAATTAAAACAAAAGATTATTTTAATTTTTTATTACTAATTATGCTAAACTAGCGAGTAAGCATTAGAAAATTAAATATTAATACAATATGTAAATCATATTGCATTAATTATTATGAATTTTTAACAGATGAATCGTCAAATTATTTGTCATTCGATGTTGCTAAAAAATAAGTATTTTATATGTAAAAACACTTTATAGTAAGCAGGATTTGAATCCGCACCTTCTAATAAATACAAATTCTAACTTATTATAACATCACATTGATGTATGTATGGGATGATTTTGTATGAGTTGTAACATTAAATAGAAGTATTAACACTAAGTACTGACCACTCTTCAGTTATCACTTTACTAGATACCTAACTCGAATTTACTTACCATAACAATTCATTGGGTTTTTATTATCTTCAACTCCTACGCTGCGTATATTTTAAAGGTAATAAAAAACCCAATGAACTAGAGAGTATTGGGTTCTACAAATTACCTCAGTATTAATATAATTTATAACAGTAATTTTATATAAATTGAATTAAATATTTTTACGGTACATTTCAGTTTAATCGCTTAATAATTAAAAGCAAACATTAATTGTTATTATTGAGAACTAAATTGTTCTACCTGTATGATATTAAAAATTGTAATAAAATTTGATTAATAGTAAACCAATAAAAGTTTATTATGATTTTGTTTCCTTTATTAAATTGCTCAATAAATTAAATATGAAAAAAATTAAAATTTATTTATATAAATAATTATTTGTATCCCTATTGGTACATTAAAGATTTGAATTAGATTTTTCATTTTCTTTATAAATTAACAGGATTATATTTATAGCTGCAATAGACAAAAGAGTCATATTAAATATATTTTGCTTTACATAAAAGCGACTTCGACAGTAAAGATATACATAACTTCGAGATATGTAGTAGATGAATTACATTTCAAATTTAGAACGTAGAACATATTTGAAGTACAGAATATTGCTTTATAACAAGAAGTTTTTTGCTTCCCAAAGAAAACCAGCAGCTTAAGTCATTTCAAAGTTAATATAGATTTAATACTACAGTAAACCGTATTGGTTACGAAATAATAATAATAATAATCTCTTCACAACTGGCGATGTAATAAACAAACAGTGTAACAAAACAAAAAAGAAATATTTAATTACTTTTATTGATTTAATTTAATTAAAATTCTTTCGAAAGTTACTTAACAAGAAATTGTTAAATAAAATAAATATTTTGTTAGTTTCTCCTATCGACATCATCGATAAATGATTCCATACACTATTCTAAGGTACCAGTGTCTATCACATCTGCGAACAATTGAGGCATTGTGGGCATTGTGCTTTATGTGAACAACGCAACAAGTAAGCATGGATTTTTCTAGATATTTCATTAAGTATACATAAGCTCTTTTTATGCATTTATGTTTTAAACAACATTATTGTGATTTAAACCTATTAAAATGCAATGAGAATGGTGAACTTCTTTCCGTTTACATTTTATTGTTTTTTCCGCACAACAATTGTAAATTTTGATTATTTAAAATGATATATATTACAGTATCGCGTAGGTATCGTAAGAGGTGACTGAGAGAATTTAATGGTCAAAAAATGGGCAGTAGACTTTATGTACTGACTCAATCGGGTGTACTGCGGGAAATAGCTAAACTAATAGGTAATCATTACTAGTTAAAATACAATCCTCATCATCATCATATCAGCCATTAATTGATCACTGCTGAATATAGGTCTGGGGATAAAGGACTTTCCCAGTAGTTGCCACGCTTGGCAGGCGGATTGGTAACCGCAGTTAGCTTTGGTGACATTTTAAGAGGGACGCTGCTGCCAATCCCTCGATTATTGTTTCCTTAATCGCCTCTTACGACATCCACGGGAAAGGAAGGGGTGGCCCATTCTATGGGGGGACCATACCGGATAGAAAGGGCAAAATACTATCATAATAGTATACAAAAGTATATTACGTACTTGTTATTACGTACGTACGTACGTATTATTAAGTACATATTACAAAACACAAATTTCCAAAATACATTTATATATATATACTCCCTGCTTATTGTACAAGTTAAGAGTACAAGTTTTTTTTTTTTTTTTATATCTAGATACTATATCGCTATTGAAGTAAAACTTTTAAGTCAGCATAAGAACTTCACAAAGCCAGAGTACTTGATAGAACATGCAACAGTCAAAAATTTGAAAGCTCTTAGAAATTGCTACAATTTTGACTCAGACAAAGCGTAGTCACGTGCTGGCTATGACGTGGTTTGCATTTTTCTACACTACAGCTTGTGTTTCACAATAGATTTTTGTTCGTTTATCTTCTGCTCAGCCTTTGAAGCTGTTTCGAAAGTTGATATAAAAGGCTTTGTGGAAAACTATTTTTAAGCGATATTAAAAAAAAAGTAAATTCTCTATTCACTTGTTTTTATTATATGGACGTTAAGTAATATCCTCGACTTTAGAAATAATATTATTAATATTTTTTTTTGGTAAAAAAAATTATTTTAGCCATTATCTTTCCACTGCTGGGTTTAAGCCTTCCCCATAGACGGCCATAAAGAACGGTCCTGAGCCATCTGCAACCACTGACTCCCTGCAATGTACTTCAGGTCGTTACTCCATATAGTGGATGGTCGTCCTACACTGCATTTATCCGTACGCGGTCATAATATAACCTTTTATTCACGTTCGTATTACAATTACATAAAAAAAACCATACATGGAAAACTCAAATACAATGTAAACCTTAATCTAATCTTTTATTCGAATTTTAAAGTCGGCAAAGGTCTTCTCTAACCTTTTCTATTCACTTCTTTCCCGAGCCACTCTGTTCCATGTGACGCCTGCCACTTGTCAAATGTCGTCATCCCACCTTTTTTGTGGTCTACCTTTTTTCCTTTTACTTTCTCTTGGATAGAGGTAAATGTATCTACTAATAATACGTATGGAGACTTAATAGAAAGTTTCCCTCTACTATAGGACCTGTACTGAATTCTACGAATTAATTTCGATATAACATTATAAGCAAACGATTCATGAATACTCGGCCAGTGCAGACATAATAATCGATTGTGTAAAATCGATTTCAGAAATGCTGTGTCAGTACAGTGCTGTTGACATGTTATTTACGGCGTCGCGCTCTGGAATCAGTTCTATAATTCAACGAGCTTCCGAACTATAGTGGACTATTATTAAAATATAGATAAATTTCGAACACTTGAAAAACAAGTCTGAATGAAATGAAATGCAACGAACCGGAATGTAACGGTATGGAATGTAATGAAACAGAATAGAATGGAATGTCTATAAATTTACTCGTAACTTATTTGAATAGAATGAAACGACATGAAATGTAATGGAACGGAATGGGTATGAAATGTCTATAATTATGGAACGCTTACAAAATATGTCCATAAATAGAACGAAATGGAACTTACCGGAATAGAATGGAACGGCATGAAATGTAATGGAACGAAATGAAAAGAAACGTAACGGAATGGAATGTAATTAAATAGACTAGACCGTAATATAATAAAAATATAACATTGTATGCTATTTGTATAATAGCTTAATGGATAACTATTGTGCAATAATAATTATATCTAACTTTAAGCAAGCGAAATCTAGATATCATATAGACATGCATTTTAAATCTAAATGTCAACTAGTTTTTTTCTTCTACTTCGTTCGCGTGGATTTCTGAAGCAGAAAACCAAATTAAAATAAACCATTTCAAAAATACATACCAGATTTTAAGTTAAACCTTTAAGAATACAACCTTTACAAAACCGCATCCTATTTAATGCAATAGTTTTTGCGTAATACTGGCATAAATATACAGATAGATGGACAAAATTGTTAAAAAAAATTGATTTGGCTTCTAATACCTTTATATAATTTTTTTTCTTAAATATATTTCGTCTATAGACGACGTATAGTTACAATTTTATTAGTAAGATAAGATTTAATATGTCTACGAAATATATTACTTTTCACCGGTGTATATAATTATGTATGTTTAGGTATATTGACGATTAAATTAGTTTTTTGCAGAATAAGTTATTTATTTATTGATATGCATTTGTACATTCACTTATAGTATAGATATTATTGTTATAACAAAAATGTATATAGGCGGACTTAACCCTTAAAGGGATTTCTTCCAGTCAACCTTGAAAACCCGAAAGAAGAGAGTGTCTATAAAGAATAAATTATTAATAGCTATGTGGTTAGTAACAGAATGTATATATATATATATATATATATATATATATATATATATATATATATATATATAACACTTTATAGCACCAAAGATGTAAAAATATACAATGACACTTAATCTATAAAGTCTTAATCTAAATCTTAAATTATAAAGTTCAAATTAAAATATACCTTAAGGTCCAAAAGACGGTCTTATCACTAAGCTAATTTTTATATATTTACGTTTGTCAGAATATTATAACAAGGATAAAGAATTTCCAATCGTACTTACCCTTCATAAGAATTCTTTTCAATACGTACGTATGTTTGATCTCTTTGTAACTTTTTTTTTTAATAACTTCGTACCATTTAATATTAATAGAACGTCAGTGAGAAGGAAATCGATGGATCGTGTCATTTTTTACGATATCGCGATGTAGGTAGCTAATGAAAGTATTTTCAGGTGATTTTTCATCGACAACGCCCAGTGAGATCTTCTGTCCTTCCGTCACACCGTTAGACAACATTTAATTTGGATAATCATTTATCATCGTTCATATCGGCCATTCACTGTCCACTGCTGAACATAAGCCTCCGAGGTGGGAGTGGGGGGAAGGAATTGTTAGTAATGTGGACTACCAGTCAATTGCTAGCAATACTGGCTCTATTAGGTCGATCTCCAGATGGTCGTCTCTGATAACCATAGTGTTAAATTTCAGGTATATTCATCACGATTGGTTAACTGATTTGCCTTTTCATTCTCACCTATCATCCCTCACTGATGCTCAATGGGTAGAGGCTTCCCTCTTAAAACATCGCCAAAACCTAACTGCGATTGCCAACCCGCATACCAAGCATGGCAACTACTGGCAAAATGCCCCAATTGGTGGAGCCCTATGTTTTACAGTGAACAGTTAAAAGCCGATATAATAATAATAATAATACTTATAAATTTGTCTTATTACTTGACTTTGAAATCGATTGTTTTTTGTAAAACACAATCTTAAAGTATTTTAAATATTGTTTTACTAAGAAATAAAATGTGTTAGAATCTTACTAGCTGCGCGTATGACAAACGACCTTTTATAATAGTGTATATGGACAAGTTGACCTTTCCGACCCAGTGGGACGAAGGGTTTCGTGAGTACGGTAATAATATTCACGCGTGACGTCGAACACAGTTTTTCATGATGTTCTGACGTATTCATTATTGTGTCAAAGGGTTTGCTGTCATATCGAGACAGTATAAGAAATATCTGAAATATTTATTTATAATTTAACTAGTTGTACCATTTGGTTTAGTCCATAATTATTTAGGATAAACAGTAACTACTGTGTACGAGAATGCATCTTTGGGTGTGAACAAATCTTGAAACCGATCACGTGTATGAATATAAATATAAAACATTTTAATAGGATAAAGTACAAGTATTTTAAATCTATACTTCTATACTCATATTATAAAGAGGAAATATTTATTTATTTGTTCTTTTGTAATGGATAAACTCCAAAACTATTTCATAGATTTCAAAAATTTCTTTTACTCAATCATAAGGAACGCTCCTAAGCCACCTGCATTCACAGACTCTTTGCAATGCATTTGAGGTTGTCACTCTATCTATTGAGGGGCGTCTTTAACTGCGTTTGCTCTTTCTTCTCCATCAATGTCGCTTTCTACTTCATCGGTTGTCGGTTATATAAACTATATAAACGGCCCATTACCACATACTGTATACATATTATATATTAGCGTTTTTAAATTGTTATAACTCTGTTTCGTGGCCATGATACGGTACAGTGTAATTAAGGAATACTGACTTTAATATTTCAACGACTTTTGTAAGTCATTGCTGATAATGACTATGTAAAATTGAACGTCCACGAAATACTAGATCACTCAACGGGTAGATATAATATCTAATATTAGGGTATGTTCATATTATTATCATTAGGGTGCGTTTATATGATGATTATAATCAGGGTACATACGGTAAACGGCGTGTGATAGCGGAGTATGGAAAGAAATTCTTATTTGCGCTAGTTTTTTCTTTGTAACACGTGGTAAACCAGCATGCGACTTACCTGAAGCTAAGAGTCACCTATAGACATTAGCAGTACCATGGACATAACAGAGTGTACTGTTTCGCCCATGATACTCCCCGTGCGTTGCCATTCCTGAGGACTCAGGTGTTATTCCTCTGTACCCTGTAAATTCACGCCATATCCCACCCTTCAAACCGAAACACAGCCATGCAAACACAACTGCTTCACGGTTAAAACACGAATGGGACAGAGGTACCCAAGCAAACGACTTTTGTACAGAGTCTCCCTCTGGTAAATTGGATAACAGACTTTTAAAATATTTGTTATAAAACGAATATACAGATATTGTAACTAAAATATATATATAGATTACCTACCCCTATAAGAAAGTATAATTAACCCAATTTCATAATATTCGTGCCTTATTACGCCTTTTCTTAACACAGCAATGTTCTGAGTCAAACAGAAATTGATTTTAAATTAACAATTCTGTTTCAATTTCAATCATCAAACATTGTAAATTACGTAGTAGGTATAATAAGTTTCCATCACAGACTCTAAGTGTACTAGATGTCGCATTTACGAGTACAATTATGTATTTATTAACTTCATGTATATAAAAAAGATACACATATCAGATATGTGTTCTAAAGGTGTTCTCTACCAGTCAACCATAGCATAAATAGATATGTTTGATGGTGGTACTTCGAAATTAGAAAGAAACCATACAAAATTACAAGCACAAGATTAAATTTATATTCAAATAAGCACATAAAGCTTTATAGTTATTGGTCGGAGGACGGGCAGCGGTATCTCTCTTAAAACACTACCAAAAACTAATCTGCGGTTGTCAGTCCGCCTGCCAAACATGGCAACTATTAGCAAAACTCCCCTTATGGGGTGTTCTATATTCAACAGTGGACAGTCAACGGCTGATATGATAATGACGATAGAAAACATAAAGCTGATGATGAATAATTGATTGATTTTAATGATTGTGTTTCATAAAAAAAAACCAACTTCGATTGTGGCAAAGCCAGTTATTTTGATTTAAAAACTAAATTACTGAACCGATTTTGATAAAATTTCTATAGTCTATATTATAGTAGGCTAGTATATCCTAAAAAGGAATTTTCCGAATTGATTTACAACTGATGGAACTATAAGGTAACATATAAAACAAAAAAATACAAAATTGAGAACCTCCTTCTTTTTAAAGTCGGTTGAAAATATCAATAGTTTAAATGGCAAAAGAAAAAAAAACCGAATGGAGTATTCTCCATTAGGTTTTTATTTATTAGTTAGTAGAGAATTAGGCTTGGAGGAAACTGAGATATTGGGTACATAGTGTTTGTTTGAAAGCGAATTTATTTGTACTTATACTGATATATGACTTACATTATGTCTAAAGTTTTGAATGAGAACACCAAAACTTCATTTATATTAATTTTTATTCGCAATGTGTCTTTGTATTTGTAATTTTTTTTAGAAAATTACCGAAAACAGCAGCTTTAACTAACTGTTCGTATTATTGTAAACAATTTGCTAGCAAAATCAAGATGTATCCGGTAAGAAATTAATAAATTGCTTTTATAGTAAGTATATAAAGAAAATGTGCAAGTTTATACGTTTTCATTTTATTACGTCTAAACTATAAAACAGACTTTAATAATTGATTCCTTTTAATTATAAAAAATCAAACCTAATTTAACTTTTGAACTATTTTGGCTTTTTCTTTTATACAATATTTACAATTTATAAGAAAGTATATAAATCTTCGGACTTAATGTCCTTAAGGTCCGTCATGTACACATATATGTACTAATAAATAAATAAATCGACCATAACCTACCTACCTATTAAGGAAAGTCTCAACTACTTTTAAAATAAATTGCTGCACTTGCGTCATCTATCTTTGTAATGTGTCAGTGGTTTGGATATTTCCTAGCTAAGGACGTTCGCATATATCGGTCAGTCTTACTAACGAATTGGTTATTAGTTTCTGTTGAGGGTCTGTGAATTATGATTGGATGTAAACTTCTTGGAAATCACAAACGAAATTATAAAGTGTAATATTTATGTAATATTAAGGTTTATAGAATTTATATCATTGTAAATATATAGATAAAACATAATATATGTATTTGTTATAACAATTATCATCATCATCATATCAACCGTTAACTGCCCACTGCTGGACATAGGTCTCCTCCATACTCACTTATGGATTTTACCAGTAGTTGCCATGCTTGGCAACCACAGTTATGCTTTGGAGATGTTTAAAGGGAGACGCTGCTGTACATCCGTATGGAAAAATACGACAATTTTTATTACGAGAAGATAAATTGTCATTTTAAAATCATTCGAAAGATATATATCTTTTAGAAAAAAAATTTCAATTCGACTTGTAAAATGCTTGTAAATGATGCTCTGTCCCGCTTGTGTTTTTGTTCCAAAACAGCCGTCCTTGCATGGCTATTATTCAGCTTGAAGGG